GCTTTCAGAGTATGCATTTATTTGTCATTTGAACTGTTTGGAAACAGAGCGTAAATGTGGAAGTCCTTCAAAGATTTCTTATCCTGTTGCACCCTCTATAGGACCAGCGACTAGTCGACGTCAAGCTTAAAGCGTCATGGCAGAGCACTGAAGTCGACTAGTCGGTGCAACCCCTAGTGTGAATAGGGCCTTTCGCACCGCAGGAACCTTTTCATAGTACCAGAACTAATTGTGGAACTACCCACTTTTTGGCGTTTTCGCACCGCCGGAACTGGGTGCGATTTTAGTACCGGACTGCCTTTTTCCGAGAACCAAATTAGCGCCTACTCCGGAGCAGGGTCTAACCAGCACAACTGGTACTAATCGTGACGCAAGTAGACATTGATTGGCCAAACGCGTATGAAAACGCCCTCACCCGCCATGATTTAAAACTCTTGTGTAAACATACTGTAAACATTGTCTCAACTTATTTCGCAAGTATGGAGAACAGCGATAGATGGACGGACGCTGAAGTGCAGGCACTTGTAGCAAATGTAGCACTGCCAGTTGTCGTTGGAGATTCTTAGTCTTTCTTTCAATCGCTTTACGTATACATCGACTTTCCATGTCCACTGTGAAACCCGCGAGACACAACAAAACACAGCTCCGATCACAGCGTCCTCCATCCTCCTGTTATTAATGTTCTTCTTTGTTTCTGTTGTTGAACGCCGTGCACAAATGACGTCGCTGTCGACCGGCTTACGTCACTTCTTAGTACACACTCTCGGTGTGAATGCAACCCTTTAAATGGTACTGGGAAATAGTTCGCACAAAATCGTCCCAGTACTTTAGTACCGTACATTTAGGTCTGGAACTAAAGCGGTGCAAAAGGGCCTAATGAGAGCTTAGTTTAGTACTCACATGTTGTGGCAGCCGCTTTCTGTGCGTGTGCTTCGGATGTGTGGTCTCAGAAAACCGTATATCAGAAGTTTAAACTCATTTACCACTCACAGTAATAGAAGTTTACCACTCACAGTAATAGAAGTTTACCACTCACAGTAATAGAAGTTTACCACTCACAGTAATAGAAGTTTACCACTCACAGTAATAGAAGTTTACCACTCACAGTAATAGAAGTTTACCACTCACAGTAATAGAAGTTTACCACTCACAGTAATAGAAGTTTACCACTCACAGTAATAAAACGCATGATTTCAGCGCGATAAACATGATAATCAGAACCAAAACAGATGTTTTTGCAGTTACTGTAATGGCGCAGCTCTTTTCTGGAAAAGGGGGCGGGGAGCAGCAGCTCATTTGCATTTAAATACACAGGCCTGAAAAACAGCGTGTTTCTGCTTCCACTAAAAATACGCATTTTCTAAATGATATAATAAATGATCTGTGGAGTATTTTGAGCTGAAACTTCAGACACATTCTGGGGACACCAGAGACTTGTATTACATATTGTAAAAAGGGGCATAATGTCTCCTTTAAGCACAAACCCACCGGCCAGCCTGGAAACATCCCACTCTCCCACTTCTTCTCAAACTCTGCCAAGATCTTTCCATAGAGCTCATTCTGATCCAGCAGAGGCTTGACCCGATCCGTGTATTCCTGCAGGTACTCCAGCAACATCTCCAGATACCTACAAGAGCACAGACATGAGACCACTGACCAGAAACAACATGCATTCAACTAGACATCAGCAGCTTTCAAACGGAGTTTATCCAACACACACTCCACAAGCTCTGACCAATCACATTTAATCCAATGATCAACAAAAAGTCAGCATTTCATATTATCAAAAAAAAAAAGTTAATTAATTACACAATATAAAGCATAGATTATGTGGTAGAGCAGAATGCTTTGGGGAAAGAAAATAAACCCACTGTGATTTTTTTCAGACACAAATTGCAATTGTTTTGTTGTTGGCAGCAGGTTTAAACACTTCTCACTACAAAAGTTCATGTGGAGCAGCATTTAATGCCAACCTAGTCGCTCGGAGTCACTGAAAACAATGTTATCATGAGATGCACGCGAGTAAATCAGCACAGTGCTGCATTTCATTCTGAAACAAAAGATCTGGTTAATTAAAGGGGTCATGAACTGAGAAATCAAAATTCCCTTGATCTTTTGACATACAAGAAACGTTCTCATTAGTCTAAAAGCAGCTTATATTGAAGCCAATCAGCTAAAACGACAGCTTGTGGAATGTGCCGCTCTATGATGTAATAGTGTGTCTAAACCCCGCCTCCACAGAAGATCATCAACGCCTGCTTCTACATCACTGCCTTTTTAGCCCCGCCCACCGATTCTACAGCACTGCCCGTTTAGCCCCGCCCACCGATTCTACAGCACTGCCCGTTTAGCCCCGCCCACCGATTCTACATCACTCTCTGTTTAGTCAGTTCTGTTCTGTCAGTTTAATGTCGGGTTTTGTCGTGTCGCGCCGCATCTAGTGTACACAGCGTCACTGATTATAATGGTTCTACTGTATTTTGCCGCTCGCTTGTTACTGACTTTCATATTAATGTTTACACCAGGCTATTTAAACATAATTATTACATGCTCACAAGGTTGGAAGTTCAACAAATCAGTCAATACAATAAAAATGTAATTCATATCAATTCATGCATCACCTAATTTCATCGTAACATATGGTCTGGCCTACAGAAAAGAACATTTATGTTTAATCTATCTAATAGTGTGTTGGTCATACTAAACAATGATTTATAGCTTGTCTTTGTTGAATACTACAGAACATAACGAGCTTTAAAAAATAATTGCATATTAAATCGCAATCGCAATATTGGTAAATAAAATCGCAATTAGATTATTTTCCAAAATCGTTCAGCCCTACTTCTGAGTTTACAATCCGCCACACCGGTTCACACCGAGCGTTCAGATGAAGGGGTCAAAACAGGACAGAAAATAGCCTTTTAGTACTAAAACATTATGTCTTTGATGTAAGAATCTTGACAACATTATAAGTGGACCTCAGAGAACAGTACAAAATAATAAAAAAGGCAGTTCATGACCCCTTTAAACTGCAGCAATTGCTATATTATAATTACACTAGGCCATAATTGTATTTCAATCAGTTACGTGGCATTTAAATGCCCAACTTTCACCTACTTCTTATACTCTGCATTCTTCCGGTCTTTAGAGATGTCAAAGAGCTGATCGAATGTTGACAGATAAGTGACATACTCCAGTTTCTAGACGAGAGCAACAGACACAGAAGTATAAGAGTCTTTTCTTCAATTATTCGAAGGCGTGTAAATCACATAAGAAACCGGACAGTACCTCCGCTCCTTTGAGGTTAATGTACTTCAGGTAGCAGTCGTGGAGATCCAGGTAGCGTCCGTAACCCTCTTCATCAGTGAACTCCACCAGATCTGTGACCAGCATTGAGACCGTTACCGTCCATTCACAGCACATATCAGCGCCTCAGCAAACAGCTCTCGTGTTACTCCAGACTTACTTTGTGCCTCCTCACTGGGGTTGTCTTTGGCTTTCATGAGCTCTTCAAACTCCACTGACATGGGCACACAGATCTGCAATCGACACAGAACGAGCGGAGTGAATATTTCTCCGAGACAGAAGCGTGTCGTTCGGGACAGAGCACTTCACGCCCGTCTGTACCTCGTTAGGGTGTTTTCTGTGGAACTCCTTGATCACTTTGAGTCGGTTGTAGAACTCAGCGAACTCGTTGGGTCCCGATATTGCATTCAGCTCATCCTTCCTCATTCTGACGAACAGACACACAACACCGCCGTGAGACAGCACAAAATAAGCCTGATATATTTCTGATATATACCGACTCAGATGTCCTTGAGATCGTCTTACCCGTCTTTGTCTTCGTACAAGTCTCGGAGGTTTGCGCTCACTTCCATGTACCTCTGCAAGAATCAAACAACGCAAACACACCAGCTTCATGCACTCACTGCAGGATTGTGAATTTGAGAATGAATTAGAAGGACACAAAAGAAAAGATGAATCTCACATCCAGCATAGCTCTCACGCGATGATCAGAGTTGATCTGGTCTCTCAGCTGTTGAACAGAGAAAAGACAAGTTGTGCTGAACAAGAACTCTGATAAACGGCTCCATGCAGATCTAAACCTAACTTTTGAAGGTACTTCCAAAAAAACTAAACAGATAAGAAACACAAAGCAGCCTTCTCAAAAAGAGCACCCGACAGTTAATCGACCATAACAACTAGTTACATGTAGAAGTAATGAAGATATACTCATAAAGCAGGCTGAGAGAAAGGAAAGCTAAAGTACACACAGTTTGGTGTAATAATTAAACCTACAGCATAATGTTGTGTATAATGTAACAGTAGATTGTGAACATCACAGACACAGACACAGAGAGAGAGACACACAAACACACACACAGAGAGAGAGACACACACACACACACACACACACACACACAGAGAGAGACACACACACACACACACAGAGAGAGAGACACACAAACACACACAGAGAGACACACACACAGAGAGAGAGACACACACGCACACACACACAGAGAGACACACACACAGAGAGAGAGAGAGAGAGAGAGAGAGAGAGAGAGAGAGACACACACAGAGAGAGAGAGAGAGAGAGACACACACACAGACACAGAGAGAGAGACACACACACAGACAGACACACACACACACAGACACAGAGAGAGACACACACAGACACAGAGAGAGAGAGACAGACAGACAGACACAGAAAGAGAGACACACACACAGACACACAGAGAGAGAGAGAGAGAGACACACAAACACACACAGAGAGAGAGACACACACACAGACACAGAGAGAGAGACACACACAGACACAGAGAGAGAGACACACACAGACACAGAGAGAGACACACACACACAGACACAGAGAGAGACACACACAGACACACACACACACACACAGACACAGAAAGAGAGACACACACACACACACAGAGAGACACACACAGACACACA